TATCTTAAACTTTGACTTTTCCTTGGCTGTACTTGAAATCTCTAAATTTGTCAAAATGGACCCAAATTTCTTCACTATTAGATCCACTGTACAAAATCGTAACTTACGTCGAAGGCCACAGGTATTGTGCACAAAGATCTGCAAAACAGCTCTACTTAGAAAGAGTGTTGTTCAACTTGCACCGGTCATATACAATAAAATTCCATATGGTATAAAATTTAATAATAATAAATAAATAAAAGTAATTTATTAATAGATAAATGTTACTATGACGTCGACGATTTCTTAAATGCTATTATAACTTAATCTTATTCACCTGACGAAGCCTTCATCGCGGATTGACATTTGTAATGAATGTAGTTTTTGAATGAATTAATTTGTTTCAATCTTATTAACCCAAGACCCACTTCACCGTTGTTATGGAGGACTTCAATGCCATGGTGGGAGTGCGCGAATGCGAGGAATCCTGCATCGGACAACACAGTATTGGACGGCGAAACCAAAGGGGGCAAATGCTGGTAAACTTCCTGGACATGCAGGGGCTGTTCTGCATGAACACTTTCTTTAAGAAGAAGCCCCATAGGAAGTGGACCTGGCAAAGCCCCAATGGTATGACGAAGAACGAGATCGACTTCAAGAAGAAGCGTTTCGGAATCTCGGATTTAGGAATTTCGGACAAGAAGCGTATATTTTGGGATATCTCTGTGGTTAATAGGTTTAATACCGGTAGCGGCCATAGACTCGTAAGAAGTACCCTAAATATCGACGTCAAGGTCGTGAGAAGCCGTATGATGAGATCTCTTATTCATCCAACGCTGCTCCAAACCATGCATAGCTCCGAAGCGTTCCAGTTGGAACTGAGCAATCGCTTCGCTTTGCTGGAAACCACGTAAAATATTGAGAAGGACCTTGAAGGTGTGGTAGGAGTAATTCGCGAAGTGGGAATTAGGCACTTCGGAACACAACGAAGAGCCCTAAAGTCCAAGCTCTCGACTGACATTCTGGAATTGATGAGGACACGACGCGAGATGCCAGAGGAAGCTTCGTCAGATGCCCGTCGTCTCAACAAAATCATCCTCAGGTCGGTGAGACGCGACCTCCATAGCTTCAATACGCAACTCATACGAGAAGCTATTGACAGGAATCAGGGGTCGAAAGTCTTTACAAAAAGACTGGGTAGATGTCAACTGACGAAGCTACATACCTCGGACGGTAAAACTGTCACATCAGTTCCAGAAATTATCTATCTTTTTAGTGTTTTGTTTTGAAGCATTTATTTGGCGTTCGTTTGAGTTTCTTGTCGCAGATTGTTAACAAATGATCTTTAAATATTAGTTGTGTTTCATTATTTTAATTAACTCGTAGAAAAAGTATTGCACGCAGTCATTACATAAATAGGTCTTAAAATCTCGTATCCATTATAGTCTCGGCCACAAATCTTTTTTTTGACGCACACACTCATAGCGACGCACCAGGGAAACCATCTATTTCGCGGGTGCCATGGACACACATAGAGGTAAGGTAGATAACCACAAACTACACCGAAACTCACGAGAGAAATAAATGAAATAAATATTTGTAACGGCCCGGGACTGTTCGACCACGGACGCAGTTCATCGGTTTTTGCCGAGTACAAACACGGTACACGACTTTAACAATCCTCGTTATGCAAGGATTGCACAAAATACTATTAAATTACTCAAAAGACTTAATAAGGCCCTTCTCACCAAGTTTCAAAACATAAAAGTCACTTAGATGCATTTAAGTTAGTTTTCTAAGTCCGTTCCTGTCTTCAGATATCTACAATTAATAATACGTGCATGACTGCGATACAATCACTTGTGATTAAAATAGTTGGATAATTACACATCTTGATCTCGGGACTGTATAGTTTGCCAGTTCACGTACGGACCTTGAGCTACTGACTTTTTGTCTAATCAACTCAAGATCAGACTGAACACTTAAAGCTATTGATTGTACCGTGCTGATAGCTTAGTACAGAGAAAGCTATGCCTCCTATAACAAGTCGTGCTCCTGGTGTTACGCAACAAGCCTGTCCATAGCAGTTGCAGTGCCACTTTGAGCTTTAAAACGCAAAGATCTGTGGGACAGAGTCACTGCACCTGTTATCTTGAGACACAAGTTGACAAGTCCCTTGTGTCTGTAATTTCACCAGCACCTTTCTTACCCTTCAAAACGGAACACATTAATGCTCGATGGCAGAAACAGGTAAGGTGGCAGTACTTCCCTGGACAAATTCCTTCATAAGTAGCTCTACTGCTATTAAATAAAGTTACTTTGCTGTAATACAGCAGTCTTTATTATTGATTTAACTGCCTCCGTGGCCGTATGGTTACCATGCCAGACTGCCACGCAGAGGTCCTAGGTTCGATTTCCGGGTCGGGAGAAATATTTGTATGGCCTACATTTATTTCTCTCGTCAGTTTGGGTGTAATTTGTGGTTGTCTATGTGTGTGTCCATGGCACCCGCGATACAGGGTTTCCCTAGTGCGGGGCTATGTTGCGTGTGTGCGTTATTAAAAAAAAATTAAAAAACAAAGTAGAAGAAAGATTATACAAATATTGAACAATACAAAGACAAAACTTTCAATCCGATTACACTCGAACTAGCGTCCATGTGCCAAACTTTGCTTAGTTTCCCGAACGCTGCCCATCCGAGCTGGATTAGACGAGAGATCTCTTTCTCAAAGTTGAACTTACCTAACTGGACATGCTCACCTGAATTTTTTTTCCAAATGGTGGTTTCGCCCTTTCTATAAAATACCAACGATATAGTATAGGTACTCAATATTTTAATATATATTCTTTATTGTACAAAGAAAAGACACATGAAACACACGTTATAATGGACATATACAAAGGTGAGCTTATCTCTATAAGAGATCTCTTCCAGCCAACCCTAGCCGTGGTGCAAAAATGAAGTCTGCGGGACTAATTAATGTACAACAAAATTTAAATTTAAATGTAAATAAAATATAAATGATAATAATATATATACGACAGACATATGCACATAAATTAACTTTATATACATAAATACATACATAAGCAGAATATATATTATAATACATAACAGATCATTTGTTTACAAATATGTTACCTATAAACTATCTAACGCGTTCGACAGGAAGTGCTCTTTTAATTTGTGTTTGAAAGATGCCACCGATGGACTATCACGAATGCTAGCAGGTAGTTTATTCCACATACGAGCTGCACTTACGGTAAAAGAATTGTGAAAGAATTTGGAGTTGGATTGGGGATATAAAAGTGTTCTAGTGTCACAGGTACGTTTTGGGCGGGAATTGGGGGATAAGGGGGAAAAACGGGAAAACAGATAATGAGGAAGCTGGGGGTAATTTAAAATTTTATAAAGTAGACAAAGAACGTGCATATCTCGGCGAAGTCGGATTGGGAGCCATTTCAATTTAGTCCGAAATTCAGAGATATGGTCATATTTACGTAAACCGAATATGAAACGGATTGCCAGATTTTGTAGGCGCTCTAGTTTGTTAAGCAGCTCCTCAGTAACATCCAAATAACAAACATCGGCATAGTCGAGAAGAGGGAGTAGTAGGGACTGAGCAAGCATAACCTTGGTGTTGAACGGTAAGAAGAATTGAAGTCGCTTGAGAGAATGATAGGAAAAGTGCATGCGTCGACTAACCTCATTTACCTGTGGTCTCCAGGACAGTGTACGGTCGATTATCAGACCCAGGTTCTTTGTGTTAGACCCAGGTTCTTTGTATTTTATTGCTTTTTTAAATGTTAACGTGGTGCGGTGTTACAAAATGTGGCATATAGCGTTTTAGATACCTACTATGACATTCATAATATATTTTTTGTGAAAAAACTCCACTAGTTTGTAATTATGATTTATAAAAAAAATTAAAAAAAGAATTACCAAAATTGTTAGAGACACCGTGTGTTTCTAGGACGCGTATCGGGTTAATTATCTAAAAGATCTATAAAACGAAACTGTTTCTCGAATTGAAAATCGTTAATATTTATTTGTTTTTTTCAAACAAACCGTGACATATTTGTTTGAAAAAACAAATATGGGCGAATTTAAGTCTTAAAAAATAGTTCCACTTCCAGTATGTAGGAATCGCGAAGACCTAAGAGTTTGAAAATTCAGTTTAAATGAAATAACTTACTTAACTAGGTAAGATAAAAAGTAGATTTACTAAAGAACGGGCATGAATTCTAATTCGAGAAAATGTACTTATAATGGTAACTCTATCACGAGCAGTTACAATAACGGTGCTATCAAATATTTATGTTCAACTTTCATCTTTAAAACCAACAATGATGATCTTATTAGGAGAATGCTTGCCTCCTGTATTGAAGAAGATGCCTAAACCACCGAGCAGAGTCCTAAACTTAGAAGAAGGTTCACGACAATTGTCGAAGGCGTCTGGTAGGCTATAACCTACGTTTTGGTTTTAGAAGGGATCCGGGTTATTGTGCCCATAAGGGAAAAGGGAAAAACACTTAGGAAAATCCAATTGGATCACCATAAAGTTTACTAAAACCATTCCTACTTTAAGACAAACTGACGGCTTCTGTTCGTGACTACGAGTATGTTACATGGATATCATTCGTGACCAGGCCTTCCATTGGATGTTTCCCCGTTCCACGACACGACACAATAATGATAATGCCATGGAAATGAACCTAAATGTTCAGGTAGTACCGCATAGCAAGACGGACGACGCCTATTTTAGTAATAGTCACGCAGATTCGCCAAGGTTAAAAAAAAATATTAGCGCCATCTATTCGTCACTACCAAAACGTTTAAGATAATTTGTTCTGTTATTATCGCTATCGTGTCGACTCGTGTCGTCTAATGTGAAAACACTCATTACGTTTCGAGTTACGCAATAACAAGATACGTTCGTTATTTGTGTAAATCAATCGCGTGTTTAACACGTACAATATGCTTGTGGACTTGAGGAATTATTTGTTTAGGTGTTTAAATTATATAAACATGCGCAATGTAGGTTAGATAAACATTTACACGGCATTTTTTATAGTAAGGAAAGGACCGAAGGTTTATGTCGATGTAAGACTTGTTTCATACATATTAAACAGCTTACCAGAGGTTATTAGACATGAAACTAAAAAATGTAAATTTAAAAATATGTTGAAAGATTTCAGAAATTTTTGTTGAATAGTACGTAATTATATGATTTAAGTATTTTTAACCACATTAAGTGTCAGTTGGTCCGTTTCGATCCTGCAGTCAAACTGTAAAGTTTTGTAGGACTATGTTTGGTTAAGTATATTGTACCCCTTTAAAAAAAAAATTTAATTATGTTGATTCTGTGGTATATAGTTTAAGATATTTATTTTTCAAAAGTATACAAATTCACTTAGCGAGAAATACAATGTATCATAAAACTTCTACAGAGAGTACGTGCTGGCTAATAAATATAATAAATATTCAAAAGGCGTACAAATAAAATTTGGTGTTTTTTTATTTTGTACATAAATAAGAGCGCATTTGACCTCCATCTCGTCTGATGGAAAGTGACGATGAGGTCGACCATGCAGCATGCACACCTAAATAATACCTATTCACTCTCGCCTTGAAAAGCTCCAAGTTATAATATCCCGGAAAAAGTTCGCAGACAGGGAATTCCACTCCCTAGCCGTTCGCCATATAAATGTGGAAGCGAAACGCTTCCTGCGAATCCTGGGAATATCCACAACACAGGGGTGGAACCCCAGCCTACGTCTACTCGCCCGATGATGGAAAGGGGAGGGCGGAATTAAATCATGTAATTCCATCGCACACCCAGTGATATATCCTGTAGAATACCGATACACAGGTAACTTTGTTCTAGTATAATAAGATAAAATGCTGATGATG